TATTAATTGTTACACCTTTAGAAAGTATAATGCATTAAAAATGACACAAAAACCTTCAAAGTTAAAATGCATTCTAATATTTAGTTAGATATAATGCATTAAAACATACACATTATGCATATGAATACCTTTATAATGCATTATAAATAAAGGCTTTAAGTGAAGTGTTACTAAATATCCTTATCGTGACCTGCTCCGTCGTGTGCCTGTAGTCAAATATCTATTTACGTTTACATTAATGCATTGGGGAGATGCTTTTATCCAAAGTGACTTGCATTGCATTTGATCAGTTCATGCATTCTCTGGGAATCGAACCCATGAGCTTGGTGTTGCGAGCGCATTGATCTACTGATTGAATGCAGGTCATTGTTTAAGGCTGTTGTTGTAAGTTATGCACCTTTCTAAAATCTCTGCAGATCCACAATGACATCTGAGTCTGAAAAATAGACATGCATCCTGTTGCCCTTGACAACCGCTGACAGCTGCCTCGTCCAATCAGAACGCAGCGCTACTCTCCTGTGCTTTACTGACATGAGTCAGTGATGGAGAAGACCATGGAAAGTTGTTTAGCATGAAGCTAGCTGTGATGTGAACATACTGCACCTATGGATAAGAAATCATAATTTGCATGATGAAATTAAGCCCGTTTTTATGGCCATTGAGATTTGTGGTATTGTGACATTATTTTCATTAAGTACATTTCAAATATTTTAATGAAGTGAGGCCAGATTTAGTTTTAGGAAAGATCACTGTGCTCCTCAAGCAAAATCATGGGCTCTTGATCAAGTGTCCTAATAAGTGGATCTAATAACAGACACTATGAGTGCTTAAATGAGCATCATCCAAAATCTCTCTCATTCACAGTGGAAATGAGCTGTTATTTTTATTTCAGAGCTCTGGCCTTATTATTTGGTTAAAAATAGGCCAAACAGAGACTGTCTGAAGAGAGTCTTCCAGCACACTTAATAAACCAGAAGATCTGACCATCAGATGAAAACAACAGCAGATCAGGATATACAAAGATATGAGGATAGCAGCAGCACAGCGTTTGTGTTCAGATCTGTGTGTTTGTGTGCTGTTCGTCTGCAGGTTGGTCTCAGTGGATTCTGATGGACAGGAAAATCGCTTCTGTCACACTGAATCTCCTCTGATGGCCGATTGGCTAATGAAATGATATTATGGTAATGGCAGGTTTTGAATGATAATTACACCTGTGAACTGCAAAGGTCCCTCACTGTTTCTCATAACATCCACATCTGCAGCTCAGGGCCGTTAGTGCAGCTTACTCCGAGATCAGAGCAGTTAATACTGTAACGACTACAAATGTGTGTGTGAGTGTGTGTGAGTGAGTGTGTGTGTGTGAGTGATTGAGTGAGTGAGTGAGTGAGTGTGTGTGTGTGTATATATATACTATATAAATGTATACTATGTAAATGTATATATATATATATAATGTATATTATATTTAACTAGATTAACTAAAATAACTGAAGCTGAAATAAAAATGTATTTAAAAGAATGCAGACATAAAGAATAACTAATACAAATGACAATAGAAATTTAAAAAATGAAAATTAATCAAAATGTAAACTAAACTAACACTGAGATATATGTAGTGTGTGTGTGTGTATATTAGGGGTGTAATTGTAAAAGGGCTCCCTATAGTTTTAAGCATAAGCTGAGGTAGATTTTTATCACTAAGAAAATTTAAACTATCCCCCTGCTGTACCGAAATCATACCGAACCGTGACGTTAAAACCGAGATACGTACCGAACTGTCATATTTGTGTACCGTTACACCCCTAGTGTATATACATATACCTGTACATATATATAATTTATTTATCTTATAATTTATTTATGTACTTGAATTCATAATTACTAATATTAAAAAACTACTGTATATATGCATATAAAGTAAAAACATACAAAATAAATTAATAAAATAAAACTAATATATTATTACAACTAATGCACACACAAACACACACTCACACATAGGGATATGCCGGTATCACATTTTCATGTTGCGATTAATTGCTAATGCTTTTATCACGGTATACGGTATTATCACGATATTGAAATTAAGTTTAAAAAAAGTGTTGTCATAATACAGTATAACAGGTTTAATAACTTTTTTCTTATAACAAAAATAACTGAACATTTAAATGCAATAAAGCAATACAGAAATGTATAAAGTTAAAAGTTTTACACAGATTAAAGTGCAAAAGAACTATAAAGACCAATAGGTATCACTTTACAATAAGACCTCATTAGCTAGTTAATGCATTAACATTCACAATGAGCAATAGCAACATTTGCTACAGAAGTTATTAATCCTTGTTTAAAAAATACAAGTCTTAGTTCATGTTAGCTCATTAAATAACACAGCTGCATTTTAACATTCTGTTATTAAATATTGGAATACCTAAGATTAATGAATGTTCAGAAGAATTTTTCATTGGCAGTTTATGTTAACTAATGAATTAACTAATGTTAACTAATGAAGCCCTAATGTAAAGTGTGACCGAACAATAAAGAATCAAAACACTTTCAAACACACATACATAAACAAAAACCTATTTTGGATGCGATTAATCACAATTAATCGTTTGACAGCACTCATTTATTTATATATACATATAAAAATAAATGTCTATGTAATATGTATAAAATAATAAATATTAAAGTTTGTGGCTTCCCGCCTCACTGTTAGATGCTTATAAAAATTCCGAGCTGAATTCCAGACAAGGTCACCTACATTCTGCTGCATACTGAACTACTCTGCAGAGGACCTGAGAGAGAACAGCATGAGCTCGGCTGGCGACTGCAGTCCAGAAAGCAGAGAGAAATGCAAACTGTCAGTAAGGAATCATCATGGCTGGTGGATTCTGTGCGTTCAGTTGTGTTTGTCAGTGAAGAGCGAGCAGAGGAGATCTGGGATCTCAGACTCTCTGAAGAGTCCGTGATCTTTATGTGCTGATTCTGATCAAACTAATATCACTGAGCTCCTGATCATGTCTGTTTGTCTGAGTCACAACCTCATGTGTTGTTGTTTTTCTCACATTTGTGTATTCTGTGACTCTATGGTGCCGATCATATGTTTAATGTTGTGTTGTGGTAGGCGGCAGCATATATCAGTTACAGTGTATATCCCAATATGGTTATTTTTTTTTTGAGGGAAATTCAACTAAAAATTGTTTAAATATTAAATAATCATGTGCCACTGTCTGTTTTTGTGTAATCAAATCAATGAAATACATTATAAATGAAATGTTATCTTTTTTCCATGTAGTTTTTGTTCTTCATAGTTTTTCATTTTGAGGCTAATTTTGTATTTGATTATCTAAATGCATAATTCATCTAAAAATAGCAATTGTTGTCATTTACTGAATGGTATAATAACGATTAAATTACACAAAGTAGAAGACTTTGAATATAGTGCATACATCATATTAACTAATGTTATTATACTTTTTGAATTCTTCTTATTTTTAGGTAATTTTTAGTAGTTGTTTATTTATTTATTGCATAACATTTTCATTTGAATGTTTTGGAAAAGTGATGCCAGGATATATAGTATGCGAATTTTAGTTTCGATTTGAGCAATTGCCCTGCTATAGGCTTTTGGGTGTGCTAATTTAACAAGGCGGCCACAGCTGTTTTCTCTGAAGTGTCGGGTGGCTGTGTATTTGTTTGTTGTCTGTCAGCGGAAGCGTTCAGCCCTCGTGTGAAGACTTGCGAGTCATCTCTCTATGCCTGTGTATTTGGGTTCCTGTATGTGAGATTACAGAAGCTTAAGTTCAATTCAAGTGTATTTGTATAACGCTTTTCACAATGCAAATCGTTGCAAAGCAGCGTTACAGAAAATTAAAGTTTCTACATTATATTTAGTAGTTGCTTATCAGTGGTGACTATGTCATGTTGATGTCCATATGTGTCCCTGCAGCACAAAAGCAGTGTTAAGTCGCTGGGGTATATTTGTAGCAATAGCCAACAATACATTGTATGGGTCAAAATTATACATTTTTCTTTTATGCCAAAAATCATTAGGATATTAAGTAAAGATCATGTTCCATGAAGAAAACTTAATTTTTGATTAGTAATATGCATTGCTAAGAACTTCATTTGAACTTCATTTGGACAACTTTAAAGATGATTTTCTCAATATTTTGATTTTTTTGCACCCTCAGATTCCAGATTTTCAAATATTTGTATCTCGGCCAAATATTGTCCTATCCTGTATAAATATCCATTTAAAAAAATTGACCCTTATGACTGGTTTTGTGGTCCAGGGTCACATATGGCAGAAATGTACCGTAAAATCATGCAGTTGTTATTATTATTAATAATAACAATAATGATAATAATAATTATTAAGTACTTTACAGTGATAGTGATAGTTCTTTATTAATTAGTTTAATTTTTATAATTGGACTAAATAATAATAATTTACACATACAAGGAATTTGTTTTCGTGACAGAAGCTTCCACAGTGTAACAGAATGACAGTGACAGAACAAAAAACACAGATCCGCTCTGAACAGCTGGAAGCCCGGCAGATGTAGCGCGTTGTCCGGTATGGCGTCATTCAGCCAGGTTTCATATAATTATATAATAATATATAATTGTAATATTTTATTTAGATTTTTTTTTTTGCACAAAAGTGGGTTTAAATATTCTCATGAAAATAATGTTTCAAAAAAATAATTTAATTTTCTTTAAGTAAAATGTGTGTCTTTTGGTTTTGGGGTAAATATGAGCTGGTTTATGTGTTGGTTATGGATATTAACGGATCATTACTCGTCTGGTGTTTGTTTGCGCTGCTGTATGGCAGGTTTAGAGGGAGTTTGTGCTGTCAAGAGTGAGAAGTAAATGTGAGTACAACAGTGTGTTTAATCACACAGAAATTAAGCATAATTACAGAGAATAGAGGCTAATAATGAAGCATGTAATTACTGTGATTGTTCCAGACATCAGGCTGTGACTCTCTCTCTGCAGATGGAGGATACCATCGCTCGCATGCAGGACGAGAAGAGCGGGATTCCCATCCGCACCGTCAAGAGCTTCCTCTCCAAGATCCCCAGTGTGTTCTCAGGTGACCTGTGCATTTATGGTTTTTTCAGACTATTTATTATTTTATTTTTTTATTAATTATAATATGCTCCAGACATTTAATTTTTTTCCCAAGACATTTTATGTTTATATATATATTTTATTTTTGGAAGAAATATGACATTTTATTACACACACACACACACACACTTATTTAATATGACCCAGACATTTGTGTTTTATTTTTCAGACTATTTATTTATTTATTATGATATGCTCCTGACATTTAAATTTTTTTCAGAC